AAGATCTTATAAAGTTTATTAAAGAGTTAAAAATATTTGATGAAGTGATGGGAGAAATTAACTTTGGAGGTGATTTAATTGAATTATATAGTTTTTATAATCAAATATTAAAGGGAGAATCAAAAGATAAAGAAGGAATGAAACTTCAAAAGAAACTTCAAAATAATTAAATTCTATTAACAATAAAAGTTTTTATATTGAAGTGTTATAATTTGTTAATAAAGTTTATAAAAAACAATAATAAGTATTTTTTGTGTTGTTTATTTTATTAAGTTATTGATTTCTATTTTTAAAATTATAAGTTTGATTGTTACTTTAGTAAAATCAATAAAATAAGATTTAATATAAATTAGGATGTGTTTAATATATTTAAATATAACAAATATAAAAGTATTATGTTGAAATTAAATTGTTTTTAATAAAATTCTTATAACTTAAAAAATAATTTTTTTTTATAAATCAAATTAAATTTAAAATATACACTTTTTATAAATTAATTATTAATTAAAAAACCAACTAATATTTGTATATTTAAACTATCTTACTTATTAATCATAATCTCTTTTATATTATCATCATCTGTGTAATTGTGGTGGTTGTTATCACTTTGCATGCTTACGTAATTGTTTAAAATTGATCGCTTCATATTTATACTTTATTAATTAAATTTATGGGTTAAATTTTTTAATAAAAATTTTACAGCTTAAAATATTTGTATAAAAATTCCAAAAATATACAAATATAAATTTTCAAGTTATTATAATACCTTAAAATTATTATTATACTTGTGATTCTCATCACAACAAACATATTTTTTTATTTAATATTAAATTTTATTAAAAAATTTTTATAATATTAATTTAGAAAGAGTTTCTTTAATAAAAAATGTTTTTATGTTTAAGTTTCAATAAAATAAAAACAATTAAACTTTACGCATAGATTTCAGCAAATAAAATAAATCTATAAATTTAAATTCCTAATTTTAAAGATTTATTGAAGTTGTTATTAGCACATCAATAAAAAAATTTTAATTAATAATTTCTTTTAAAAATTTATATTAAAATAACTATTTATAAGATGATTGAAACAAAAACAACTAATTTTTAGTTTTAATCACTAAAAATAACAAATTATAAAATAAAAGATTTAAATTTAAATTATAAAAATACAAATAAAAAATAATTTTAGAATTTAATTCTAATCGTTTACTTCCGAAGTTTTTTTAACTTCAAAATCAAACTCATCGTCGTCATCTTCTTCAGAAAACATAATAAAGATATAAATACCTCCTAAAATAATTAAAACTGCTACTAATATAATTAAAACAATAATTATTTTTTTATAACTTTTACCATTATTTTCATCATCACCTTCTAATACTTTTGAATTAGATTTATCTTTTTCATCATCTTTTTTATCACCACCTTCTAATACTTTTGAATTAGATTTATCTTTTTCATCTTCTTCTAATACTTCTTCTTTACTATCAACTGCATTAATTTTGTCATCTTCTTCTCGACTATTAGTTTCAAATGTTTTAAAATCAATATTATCCATTCGCTTTTTTAAACCTTCAATTTTTTTAATTTTATCTTCAAAAAAACTTGATAGTATTTTACATTCTTCTTTAATTAAATCAATATTTTCATCAAATAGTGCTTCTTTCAATTCTTCTAAAGAACATATGGTTAATTCAGATTCATTATTTTCAAAAATGTTATTAATTTTATTACAAAAAAAAACTTCAATTATTTTCTTAATAATGTTATTCTC